AGCAAGCTGATCCTTCAACAACTCGAACGTAAGTAATTCAAACAAGTTTCAACTTATATTCTTGCCAACTGACAAAAATAGACATAGATAGAGTTTTGCCAAATGTGGAAGAAATCCATGGACTAGTTAAAGCTGAAATTTTAGGGATCTGTTCTAATTTTTTTTTTTTTTTTTCCATTTTCAGGCATGGTGGGACTGGTCTTGGGCTATGCATTGTAAGAACCTTGGTGAGTACAGTTTCAAATTTTCAATAATTAATAATGGTTTAGAAGTCCATTCAATGTGCAAGATCACCTAAAATGTGTCATACTGCAAACAAAGAGAGGGGACAATGAAAAACAATTCAATGAGTCAATCTCATGTAGCCCACTGCGAATCTTCAATTCTGTTTTTTTTTTTTTTTTTCTAATGATATTGTTGGTGTCAGGTTAACAAGATGGGAGGAGAAATCAAGGTTGTGAAGAAGATTGGTCCAGGAACTCTAATGCGACTATACTTGCTTCTCAGTACACCAGAAGATGGCGCAGAACAGCACTGTCAAATGGATTTTGCAGAGCACAACATAGTAGTGAGTTAAAAAAAAACTTAAAGGCAAAATAATAATAATTCTTTTTATTTTGGTGCCATTGATAATTCTTGGTCCATCTTGTAATGTTAGTCAAGTTCTCATTTTCTATAACCAAAAAGAACAGTTAATCCTGTGAATTCAATATTACAGAAAAAGGTTCAAAGTAACAACAAATGCTAACATGCTTATAATGTGAATGCAGGCTCTCCTTGCTTTACATGGCAACATGGGTAGATTCATCATGTCCCAGTGGTTATCTAAAAATGGAATATCCACTGTGGAAGCATGTGAATGGAATGAGCTCACACAAATCCTCCATGAATTGTTTCATGCTGGAGGCCATAGTAGAGGTTTTGACCATCAACATCTAAGTGAATCTGTAAGAGCTAAACTGAAGAGCATACAAGAAGTGAGCAACCCGCTTTACATCATAGTTGTTGATATAGGACTGCTTGACTTGAGCACTGATATATGGAAGGAACAGATTAACTTTCTTGGAAAGTTCTCTGGTAAAGCAAAGTTTGCATGGATGCTAAAGCATGATACCTCCAATGCTATAAAGATGGAGCTCCGCCAGAAAGAGCATATGATGGTAAATAAGCCACTATACAAGGCAAAGATGGTTCATATTTTAGAAACTGTAATAAAGGAGAGAGAGATTGAACTCCAGAAGAAAAATTCAAATGCTACAAGAGTTACAACAGGAGAAGGTGATTACCATGAATGTCTTGAAATTGATTCATCTCATTTTGAAAGTTGCAGCTCTGATGAGTCTGAAACTGGTGGTTCTAATTCTACAAGTTCTTTGAATATTGGAGAGCAACAAGGAGAAAGAATTGAGAGATGTAGTCCGTCAAATTTCCAAGCTTTAAAGAACTGCTTAGTTGAACTCAGTCATTTAGAAGAAAGTAAATCAAGGACAGAAGATATGTATGATGGCAGGGCCCAGTTGAACGGCATGGCAGATGTTAAATGTGAAATTTCCAGATGGCCAGATCAACCTTCAGTCATTAGCAGCAAAAATGAAAGTAATTCATACTCAAGCCAAACTCCGAATGAACAGAAATCACTTGCAGGCCTGAGGATACTGCTTGCAGAAGATACACCAGTACTCCAAAGAGTAGCAACCATAATGCTGGAAAAAATGGGAGCTACTGTTATTGCTGTCGGGGATGGAATACAGGCGGTGGATGCCCTAAACTCTACCCTTTACTCAGAAGGGGGTAGAAGGAAGCCTTGTTCTCAAGATGGTAGCCCAAGATCACAAACAGAGATTTGCAATTCCCCTCCATATGATTTGATCCTCATGGATTGTCAAGTAAGACATTTAAAAACACTGTCATTTGACCATTAACAGGAGCTTTTTTGCTCGACTAGATGATGTGAAGGTCCTAACCTTTTGTTTGTTCATGATAAAAACAGATGCCGAAGATGGATGGCTATGAAGCAACGAAGGCAATAAGGAAATCAGAAGCAGGAACTGGATGGCACATTCCTATTGTAGCACTGACAGCCCATGCAATGTCATCAGATGAAGCCAAATGCTTGGAGGTGGGCATGGATGCTTATCTAACAAAGCCAATTGACTACAAGCTGATGGTCTCCACCATTCTCTCACTCACTAAAAGAACACCCTAACTTTCCATGTTGAGCAAATTTAACGGAAGGATGTATGTCTCAAGCACCTTTGAATGCAGAGATGGATGACAGTTTCTCAAAAAACGAACTTAACATGTGTAGTCTACCTATATATGTATGTATATATATATATATATATATATATA